TATTACATATCTTCGGTAACCATAGGCTAATTTCCCCCATTTGAGTCCTTTATACTCTAATAAGGCCTCATACTCAGAAACCAATAGAGGCATGTTGTACAAAAACACATAATTAGAAGTTCACAAAAGTTTATATAAAACTATTCGTCGATTTAAATAAATAACTTTTTACTGCGCGTGTTTATTCTACGAGGAGGAAGCATCGAAAGCTTAACCCCGCCAGTGTGAGACTTTAACCCAACCCAAACTTCCTACCGTCATGTACCGTTCCCCTCCCGATAGCACCATCAAGGATTTCGTCGGGATTATAACACTGTGTGACTGCTAAAGTTATAGATTTATTGAAGCACAAAAAATATGCATACTTAGAATTTTGAATACCCCCTCAAATCTGGACTTAAGGTCTAAACACGCGCTTTTCATAGATTGAGCCTTATAATTGTTCGTAACTTAATTTCTGTTTATCCGATGAAAAATATTTACAGGCGTACACGGTAACCGCAACCCTCAATACGTGCAATTCCTTGATTAATGCAAGCCTCTAAAGCAGTGGTCGGCATACTAACACATTCAAACGATCAGCATCAAAATACCTTTCAAATGATACATAATTCTGTATACCTTAGAGGTATAGTTAGTTTAGCGGTAAAAGGGGTGTAAAGAAAAATATATACATATAATGTGACCAACTATTTCATAGCTCAAAGAAGTACAGAAACTGAACACCAAAAATAGTATGAAAGTAATGAGAAAATGGTAAAATCAGAATATACAAAAACAGTAACAGTGTACCGATTCAACAAATAAATTTTTGATGTGTATACATCTTTGGTTTCGGTAGGTGTAAAGTTTGCGAAGCTGTAACGCATATCCCAGCACAAAATTTCGAAGGGCTTAGCATGTGTATTTCAGCATAAAATTTTTATTTTCATTAGAAGCACCCTGTGTTCGCTTGCCAAATGGTTACAAATGCGCTACAATTGATTATTAGCCGTCATCGATTCGCCATCAGTTAGCAAGTGGCGAAACGAACGAACTCAATGAGGTACAACCAAACTTGCTATCGTCTATCCATGCTAGCTAACTTTGGTGTTGCTTTCACATGCAAAATTTTTCGTTAAGCGACCGGAACTCAAACATAGCGAGCGAGAAGTGGCGAATCGACGTCGGCATGGCATCCTATGACACCCACAATGCACAACATACTAATTCCTTATTAACAATAGGACAATTATCGGGGAGGCTCAAGAGGCCCACAACAAACACTACCGAGAAAATAATTCCCGGAAGTTTTCTCGTGAAGTATGTAACCGTGACATATATAACCGACTGTTGATGAGCTCGGACTCGTTTTTAAGCAGTATTTCGGTTCATGACCAAAAAAAAGAAAAAATATATAATCGTTTTCCCCAGACACAATAAAGCTGCTGTTACCCTCTAAATCCGTTGTCAAAGATGTGACAAAGAAATAGTTTGAGGCCAGCGAATATTCTGAAAGCGAAAACTAATTAACCAATGATAGTGTTCACACATTTTATAAATAAAGGTAGTCAATATATTTAAATAGTAAATTATTGGCTAATATATATATTTTATTAATATAACCTATCTGTAATACAAATTATTTCAATTTTACATTTGATAAACAATTTTGAGTAGATAGAGGCAATATAATATTTTTTGCCGCATAAGACTTGAAAATCTACCCATATGCGGTGTTTCCAAGATATTTTAACGCCCTTGAGTCACAAGTATATATGTAGAAGTATATTTTATCAATCATACCGATAATGTCATGTATTAAAAGAATTAAAAATTAATAAAAAAATTAAATCAGCAAAATTAGTAAAATTAAGTGAAATTAATATTTAATTTCTAACCTAACCTACATTTGTATGTGTGTAACTGAATCGCCTTTATATACAAAAATATTATCCTAATTTTCGAGCTTGACTCCCTAATCTGTTATTAGAAAAAGAGATTAGCCATGCAAAATTATAATTAAAAATATCTCAGATTAAACCGATAACTTTTTGGTGTCCAACCCAGTTTTATCGATTATACTTGCGAAGAAGAGGAGGAATGTCAAATGTTAAAGTAAACAAAAATTGACGCTAGTAAGGAAAATAGGTTTGTAAAGGTATTTTTAATAAAATATTCAGTTAAAATATATTTAAATGGCCTAATATGTGTTGCAAAAAAAAAGTGACCACGGTGGCACAGAGAAGAAGTTTAACTTTTCCTCGAGTTGTGTGAATAACAAGCACAACCAATTTGACAGCTAACGAGCTTTGATTGAGATTATATTTATATGTAAACGTACTTTTATGATTTGCCGATCGCATATGTATACACATCAAATTTCATGAGTACCTAGTACTCACGCCTTTTTTTTTAACTAAAAATCTATACAATTTATTATTCTAAGATAAGGCGCTTATTCCCAACGATCTACTAATTGTACAGAGACAAGTCATCTTCCAAATTAAAGTGCTGGATCCGAAACTTCGCACGAACATTTCAGATTCGAAATCATTAAACCACTTTTTGGTTTTGGTGGAGGATGGTTCCGTGCGCAGAAGTGGAAAACTTTTGACTGCCATTCACCTGGGAGTGGCCAGAAGCGATTCTTGTGCGTACGGTTCAAATCGCAGCTCACAACGTCCGGATATTTATATCCACGTATCCTCTGGGTAGCAACCAAACACCCATTTGGGAGCGAGCTAAAGTGAGAAGGCGTAAAACTTCGCGTGCGCTGGGTTTGGGTCCCGCCACGTTAAAACCCCGCCCAATGAAAAGAAAAAAACAGCCTCGGATGAGACCCCCTTTTTCTGATGACGACCACGGCAAACGTATAAAGGGCTATGATTTAAAGGTATGCACCTGGAATATCCGGACCCTTAATGGGGAAGGTGCCTCTGCCCGGCTGGTTGATGTCCTCGGGAAGACAAAGGCTGACATCACCGCCATCCAAGAAATGCGATGGACGGGGCAAGGTAAAGTAAGCGTGAAGCCTTGCGACGTCTACTACAGTTGCCACGTAAAGGAGCGCAAATTCGGTGTTGGATTCGTGGTAGGAGAGAGACTCCGTCGCCGAGTACTGGCGTTCACCCCGGTGGACGAACGTCTAGCCACAATCCGCATCAAAGCTAGATTCTTCAACATCTCGCTCATCTGCGCCCATGCCCCGACGGAAGAAAAGGATGAGGCATCCAAGGATCTCTTCTATGTGCGCTTGGAACGTACATATGAGCGCTGCCCCCGACACGATGTCAAAATCGTGCTGGGCGATTTTAATGCCAAGGTGGGCAAGGAAGGGATCTTTGGCGCCACCGTCGGAAAATTCAGCCACCACGACGAAACGTCCGATAACGGACTGAGGCTGATCGACTTCGCCGGGGCCCGAAATATGGTAATATGTAGTACTAGGTTCCAGCATAAGAACATCCACCAAGCTACATGGCTGTCTCCAGATCGAAAAACGAGAAACCAAATCGATCATGTTGTGATAGACGGAAGGCATGCTACAAGCGTTTTGGACGTACGTACACTCCGAGGGCCAAACATCGACTCGGACCACTATCTTGTTGTAGCCAAGATACGCACCCGCCTCTGTGCAGCAAAAAATGTGCGCCCAACAATGCAAGGAAAGCTTAACGTCGAAAAGCTGCAATCACAACAGACGGCCAATTTATTCGCCACTCGACTCACACACCTGCTCTCTGAGAGCACTCTTCAACAATCCAACGTACGCGAGCAGTGGAACCACATTTCCCGATCATTAAGTACCGCCGCCGAAGAAGTAGTTGGATTTCAGCGAGCCCGAAAGAACAACTGGTACGATGAGGAATGTCAAGAAGCCGCAGAGAAAAAAGATGCCGCCTACAGGGCCACGCTGCGATCGGGCGCAACGCGAGCCATGTGGGACCGTTATAGGGAACTGAAGAAGGAAGCGAGACGTATTTGCCGTAATAAGAAGAGAGAGGCCGAAATACGTGAGTGCGAAGAGCTTGAGATGCTGGCCGACAGGAAGAACGCCCGAAAATTCTACCAGAGGGTTAGGCGACTTACGGAAGGTTTCAAGACCGGGGCGAACTCCTGTAAGAACAACAATGGCGACCTAGTGACCGATGTCCAGAATATACTTAAATTGTGGAGGGAACACTTTTATAACCTACTGAATGGTAGCAGCGCTGAAAGTAGTGAGGAAGACGAACCCGAGTCCCCAGTCGATGATGATGGAGTAGCTGTCCCACCGCCTGACTATGACGAGGTACGAATAGCGATTACGCGGCTGAAAAACAACAAAGCTGCTGGAGCTGACGGCCTGCCAGCCGAGCTATTCAAGTACGGCGGCGAGGAGCTGATGAGGTGCATGCATCAGCTCGTATGCAGAATATGGTCAGATGAACGCATGCCCGACGACTGGAATTTAAGTGTGCTCTGCCCAATCCACAAGAAAGGCGACCCCGCCATACGCGCCAACTACCGCGGAATTAGCCTTCTAAGCATAGGTTACAAGGTCTTATCGAGCGTATTGTGCGAAAGACTGAAGCCCACCGTCAACGAGCTGATTGGACCTTATCAGTGTGGCTTTAGGCCTGGAAAATCCACCATCGATCAGGTATTCACAATACGCCAAATCTTGGAAAAGACCCGCGAGAATAGGATCGACACACACCATCTATTTGTCGATTTCAAAGCCGCTTTCGACAGCACGAAGAGAAGTTGCCTTTATGCCGCGATGTCTGAATTTGGTATCCCCGCGAAACTAATACGGCTGTGTAAAATGACGTTGAGCAATACCACCAGCTCCGTCAGAATAGGGAAGGACCTCTCCGAGCCGTTTGATACCAAACGAGGTTTCAGACAAGGGGACCCCCTTTCGTGTGATTT